GGGCCTCACAGAAAATAGTCCCTGCCCCCAAAAACACTCAAAGTCTCAAAATCTAAAATTATTTAGCCTGCAAAGAGAAAAGAGTTTGTGAGGAATTTACTAATATACTGACAAATTATAAAGAATGAAAATAAATGACTCTGAACTAGGCATGTAAGCGACTAGTCAACTATCAAACAAGCAAAAGCTTATCGGATAGTCAACTTGTCCCTCAACTAGTCGCTTCCCACCCCCCTGCTGCCCCTGTCTGCACAGCCGCCCAGCAGGCTCTTAATACATTTAAAAGGCAGACCCACAGTAGGGTTAACTCCCGGGCCAGGAGCTAACCCTGCTATGGCTCCCCGCATACTGACTCATCGAGTAGTCAATGGAAAATCCATCAACTAGTCAATGAATTGATTAAACTAAATTTAACATCCCTACTTTGAACACAGTGTCACTTATGCTTAAAGTGCAGCACTCACTAAAAACAATTGTCAAAAATGGCACCACATCCCCATCATTCAATTGCTCTGAAGCCACAAACACTGAAGCAACGTTAACAGACAGCATCTCAGACATGATGGAGCTGAGCAGGTGTTATGTGAAGGCAGAATTTGGCTAGCGAAGTATTTAACACAACGTGCAAGTCAGAAAACAAATGTGGTTTTGAGTTTGCATAGCAAGAGTGAGACAACTCAAAGACATAGGGATACTCCACAGGCTCTGCTGCCAACAACATCCTTAGGACATCATGTTTCTTAGCTCTAGTTCAACAGTATCAGCCCACGCGACCAGAAAGATACCAAAAAGGCTGCAAGAGAAAAGCACAAGGAAAAAGAATAAAGCCGCCTCACACACGGCCCATGATGGTGGGACTTAAGGATCTTGATGAGGGTCTGGATGCAGCATCCATGCCACTTCTCCATCCACGACACAAGACAATTGTGCACCTGTGGAACAATGCAGCCAGCAAAATCCAGCACGAAGATAAAACAGCCTGTGGAATCAGCTACCAGAACACACATGTAGATCTAATTTACCTTTTTGATACACAGAAGCTGCAGCAAGGAGCTCTATAAGAACCTCCAAGACGGAATATACATTGTTATACAGTTCATGGGGTGACAGCTAGTGAGACTCCCTTCTTACTTGTAAGCTGAAAAAAATTGATATGGAGTTGTGGGGCTAATTTTTACTGTGACTTCTCAGGACAGAACTGTACTTGAAATATCAGCACATTTAGACACAAGGAATCATCACTAAGTAGCAAATAGCATATGCAATTCACTGCTATGGTTCACTCACATTTTTAAGCAGCTGGATAATTTTAGACCACTGAATGTATTTGCAGAGTTATAATCCATGATAAGACCTAGATGCCAGTGTTCACAGTGCTTTAGAAATATGGTGTGATTAGGTACTTTTATGCCCTATTGCCTGGCATTGTCATGAGAGAATCCCCATCCCTACCTTCTGCTACCACAAATGTGCAATTGGCTGAATACATTCCATTCCATCAGACATCAAGCAACATCACAGGCAGGATGAAACCGATCTGATCATATCAACATGACAAATCTCAAGGGAATGCTTATCTTAGGGGGTCACCAATTTCATGGCATGGTGAGCAGCGGGAAATGCCAAACAGACAATCTGGGCTTGACAGAGACAGAAATCACAGCAATTCGAATCATTTCTTTGTAGTCTGAATTTTAACCAACTTCTCAAGTGGCAACATTGCAACATGCTCTAAATCAGGCAGAGAGGTGACTCTTTCGGGACATTTCCAGGATGACCATCATTCCTGACCCAGTAGCTGGGGACGTCAACAAGAAACGTTTTTATCGTACACCAGGTAAAGGCTCTAAAATCAAGATGATACTTGATGGGAAGCACTCCAGAAAGAAGAATACAGAAAGGAAGGTCCCGTGGTTACTGTGCTAGTGTGAGACCCAAGTTCAACATCCAACTCTGTCATAGGCTTCCTGCATGAACCTGAGCAAGTCACTGAGACTCTTTGGGCCTCCATTCCCCTTTGGTCCATTAGGGATAATAGCACTGTCCTACCGGACAGTGCAGGCTGCAACATGCTCAGGTACTACAGCAGTGAATGGGGACCTGATAAGTACCTAAGATAGAGAAAGACAGAAAACCCTGGTAAACCACTTCTACCTGGAAATCTGTTCTTTTCACCAGGGTGTATGACTGACTACCTGTTGTCTATTAAATTATTTTGCCATAAATGGACTTTTCTGTTTTTCCCCCTTAAATTTTCATTTGAATAATTTTCTGCAATTCAAACAATTACATGTGCTAGTCCAGGTATGAATAAAGACATTACCTGGCTAGCACACTACTTCCACATCCTAATGACTTAAAAAAACCAAACAATGGGTACTTAAGAACAATCTGCACCTTCTCTAATTGACTTTTTTCCCCCCTTGTTTCCTTCCTTCTCCCTCCTCCCTCCCTCCCCTATTTATTTTGGAACTGGATCTTTAATAACTCAATTCATCTGAAGAAGAGGGTTATATCCACGAAAGCCCATCTACATGTTTTGTTAGCCTTTAAGGTGCTGCTGGACTATTCGTTGTTTTTTAAGTTTTTCCAGTTACAGACTAACTCGGCTACTCCTCTGAAGCTTTTGATGTGCTAGTCCTGTTACTTTTGTGACCCTCAAACTAGACACAGAGCATTATATTCAACAAACAAGCTAAGATAGGTAAAGGTAGGTCACAGATAAAAAGAGCATGTCCCTCGCACAGTATCATCAAAGTTTTGTCAGTCTCACAAAACCCTCACAAGACGCAATTACATTTTGAAAAGGATCATATGGAAGCCAAGTGAACAAAACTCCTTCAAATTATAGCCAAATACAAAGAAAATAGATAATGAACTTTTCAGCTATAAAGAGAGCTGAATTTAACTTAATTTAATAAAGTTCAGTAGTTGCTTACATACATTCATTTCCCTAACTCCCTGGTATTTCAAGATCAGCTGGGTATTGACAGAAAATTGAGCATCCAAGTAGTTACAGAGAGATGGGAATCCAAAGGAGCAGCAACATTTGTAAAGATCTCTCTTTACTCCAGCCTGTTTAGCATAACTGTATTGTAACCCAATCAAAGACTGCCAAAGTCATACATATCCTATAGAATGTCTTCTCAAAAGAATACTGGTACACCTGTTATTCATGCCTGAATTGTGTACTTAATGCAAGCACCACAATTCCTGCTTCCCGCTACTGTTTACCAAAATGTAACAACTGTGTATATAAAGCCTATTTTTTGTGAACATTTGGCAAGTCTACTGTCACATGGCTTATCTCAGATTGAACCTTTCTAGTCTGGCGCCCTTGGGACCTGACCAGTGCTGAACAAGAGAATTTGCTGAACCACGGGAGGTCAATATTGTCTAGCAGCGTTACCAACACTTCCACTGCTTGCTGGAATCTTAGAAGACATTTAGGGTAAATTAGAGCTAAACAACAGCACAGAACACAAAGCCAGGACTGGTGGCTATAAACAAACTTTATGGAACCACGGGAAACTTGGCCACACCCATGATATCCAGCTCACTAAAATCATGCCGGACCACAGATGTTGCCAGACCAGATAGTGCCGGACTGGAGAGGTTCCCGTAGCAGATACCTGGCCTGCTCAGCGGCATTCTGACCGAAGCAGAAAAAAGAAACGTACAGCAGCCAGATCCACATTACAGGCTTTTGCTGGCATTGCTACATCAGTCGGGGTGGCATGAGGGGTTATGTGTGTCCAACACATATGTGCCAGCAAAAGCCTGTAGTGTAGATGCACTTATTCCAGCCATAAGGAAGAAATGCTTTGGCAGTATGGCTACCAATATGGCCATGTCTGCAAAGCACTTCTAGTGAAGAAGACCTGTCTGAACATACACTACTTGCCAACAGCTATGTTAAGGGCTTAACTCTGAGCTGTTTATGCCCAGAGAGGCAATGAACAGGGGTGTCATAGAAAGAGCAAGTGGCTCCGTCCGTGCAGGTGATGCAAAGCACCTTTGCATCCATCCCAGGAGGTGCCTTAGATGATGTTTATTCAGTGTCACATCCTGAGGTAAGTCCTTGTTGAGTGAAGAGAAATGTCACAAATGCTGAATCAGAAGGAGCAAACTGAGCAGGAAGGGAAAAGCTGCTGTTTACACACAGACCATCTGCTAATCAGAAAAAATGGCAGGCTAACGGGGTAGCAGTGAAGTACTAGTTCTCACACACATATGTGCCAATTTAACAGATAGCAAATTATAGGTAACAATTCAAAAGAGATACTAGGAAAATAAGTACCGCCATGATAGCACATAGGGTAGATGCCCTCTCGTTCCTGCCACTCTACTTGTCTGCTGTCATCTCTCCCTGTGGCTCATCTAACCTAGAGGGCCAGTGCTTCAGACTGGAATTGTGTGTTCACAAGAGCTACCCACACTTATGACAACACATAGATAACAAGACAGCGAATTGCCATCAAGCCCCAAAATGGGAAACCAGATCCACTGTCACTCCCACGTAATCAAACCGCCCACCGCTGCCATCCACAGAAACAAATGCCTCAACAAGGCCACTGGGGCTGGGCCCAGACCGCAGCCCAAAAGAAAGCCACAAGACAAGGCACCACTGGCTAGAGAGGACAATTTCAAGCCACTCCACCTGGGTACCCTGGCAAGAGCAGCAAGGCCTTGGTCCCTGTACCTCTGGGATGACACAAAGGCTGTCCCTCCCACCCAGGCTCCCAGTCAGGGCACCCAGGCCCCCCCTGGAAGAAGGGGCGCAGCCTGGCGGCTACTTACGGCTGGGCCGTCCGTGGTAAGGCACCACTGGCTAGAGAGGACAATTTCAAGCCACTCCACCTGGGTACCCTGGCAAGAGCAGCAAGGCCTTGGTCCCTGTACCTCTGGGATGACACAAAGGCTGTCCCTCCCACCCAGGCTCCCAGTCAGGGCACCCAGGCCCCCCCTGGAAGAAGGGGCGCAGCCTGGCGGCTACTTACGGCTGGGCCGTCCGTGGTGGTGTAGCGGACGATGATCTGGAAGGGCTGGTGAGGCTGCAGGGCAGCGGGCAGGGAGATGGTGAGGGAGGAGCCGTAGTCAGTGAAGGGGTCTACCCTGAAGACGAGAGGGCAGGCGTGGGAGGCTG